TATATATATATATTGATAACTTCATTAGAAAAAACTGTGTTGGAGTAAATTGGTAAACTTGGTCAAACAGTCATTTCAGTGACTCTATTCATAACTGATTTAATGATATTTGTATCATTCACTGAAGCCCATTCACAGAGAGGGATATTTCATATAATTATTCAAATCTGTTAGTCAAAATATTACATTAGTGTTATTATTTTATATTAATGGTACAGTATAAATAAACGAAGTGAAACAATGTGAAAAACATTCCCTTTTTTTACTGCATTTTACTTCTTACATTAAACATGTTGAATCTACAATGGCAGTTCGGTTGAAAATATGGTTGTTTTGAATTTATATATATATTTTTTTTTTATTAAGTCAGAGCAAGTATATAAATACTGTGATATATCTTGAATGTCCAATATGCTGTTTTGGTGCTCAAGTAACATTTTTTGTTATTATTAGTGTTGAAAACAGTTGTACTGCTTAATATTTCTGTGTAAACATTTATATGAATAGAATGTAAAATACACTTTTTTTTTTTTTTTTGCCATATTGCCCAGCCCTAATAGTCACATGCGGTTAAGAATCCTCTCACAGGAGAGAATTGTGAACAAACATACAGGATTAGTACACTACATTCAGTAAAAAGAGATTTTAATTCATTTCACAAATAGAAACTTTCAAACAAGCATCTCATTTATGAAGAATGATTCATCACTTTTATACTTCACTACTTTGTTAGAGTTTACACTTGCCAGCTGTTAGTCGTCCTATGTGAGAACAGATTTGACTTTTGAAAAGTCACACAAGAGGGGCAACAAAATGTTTCTAAAGCTGAACATCTTATCACTTTTCATCTCAAGTTAGCATAAAATAACGTTTTAGAAATAGGCTACAAGGCGTGTTCATAATGGTTTCTGGTTTCTGTCGAATTAAGATTATGTTGGCATCACTGCGAGTAAACTTAATTACATTTTTACACAAAAGACCCATTCATAATGTATTAGTGTATAAACTGCTGCTTTATAAAGGCATTAAAAGCATGTTTGTGTCATGCCGGACATGGTAAAAATTTGAGCAGCAAACACTTACCCCTTTGTCTTGAGACTTGGAGTTGAATTTAACCGTCTTTAACCTGGCTCTTTCTTTTCTCTCCACCCTGAAGAGGAAGGAGACAAACACTGTAGGACGACTGTTTTCACTGTTAATACACAACAAGTGTCCTGAGTTTATTATGTATATGTGTTTAAACTAAAATGTACCATGTACCATGAGTAAAGGATTACTAAAGGAAGTCCTGTATAATTAGGCTGGTTTAGGGTAACATCCACCAGATGCTGCTCTGGCGTACTTCTTAGGGAGAGTTTACATGAGACACTTGGTTAAAAAAATCTAGATGACATCTAACCTTTAAAATCCAAATATAACGACGCAGATAAGAAACTTTCACAAAGAGAAATCCCAACTTGTTTCTAAAAATACAGAGCATTGCTGGCTGTCATCAGCGGGGAGGCGAGAGAGGAAAATTTTTAAAATGAGGTGAGAAGTCAATTATCAACTTCAATCAGTATACATTCGGGTGGAGAGAATGAGAGAGAAACTCTCACAGCATCACGCATCAGTACAGAAATATAAGGCTCTAATTAGACATGGGTAACAGTAAACCCATGACCTTGTCAAAAATAGAGCAGAATTGTTTGTCTTGCTAAAGATAATTTCATAGCTAGCATCTTTTGTATCCTAAATACAATTAAATAATTTTATCGCACGTTTTTTGTAACTCAGCATGATTTTCTTCACTTATTACATCTCATATTTCATCTCAAGCATTCTGTCACTTTAGTAACCAAGTAAAACAATTTTGATACAATATTATTGGGGGCATAGAAAGTCTCAAAGCAGTTTTAACAGGATCGTAGGATAACAAAAAAAACTAAAAAAAAAAAAAATGTAATTATTAGTTTTAATAAAAAATTAAAACCCCTGGGACATAAAAGTGCTCTTGATTGAAGAAACGCCCACATCAAACCATTTTCAAATCTCCAGCTGCTGAGTCAAGTTAAAACCCTCATCACACAGAGAGCAGAGTGACTTTTACTTCAACTTTCACTTATGTAAGCATATATAGTCTCAAATATGATCATTCTTGGATGCCATTGTGCTGGTACAGTATACATGTGCTCATTGCACATCGTTACAAATTACAATGCATAACGCATAGCATTTAAACCAAAATGAAGAAAGGCAGTGAACTGAAACAGAAGACATTGTGAAAGAACCATTAGTGGAAAGACTAGTCGAGTCGTGGGTAATGTGGCTTTAAATGCACAATTGTGTTAATCATTGTAAAGAGGGTTAACAGTGCTATATTTCTACAGTAGAGTGAGCTCTGGAACGCATGGGGGCACAACCTACCTCTTCTTGCTGGGAATGACGCCCATCTCCTCCATCTCGCCATCTGGAGTCATATGCCGCGCTTGCCACCACTCCTCATCCGAAGCATTCAGGACATGTAGGATGTCGCCGAAGCGGAAGTTCAGCCCCTGACTGGGCAGGCCGGAGTCTTTCGTTATGTCATAATCAAACAGGGCCCTAGAGAAGTGAGAATGTAATAAGAATTGTTTTTCAGAGAAGAAAAAATAAGACAGCAAAAAGCCAATGAATGTTAATGAACTCCTTTGTTGATAAAGTAAATAATAATAATAACAATAATAATAAATTAAAAATATAAAAATTAGTGCTGTCAAAATTAACGCGTTAACGCATGTGATACATTTTTTCAGTTTAACGCATAAAAAATATTTAAAGCAATTGAGACAGGGATGGAGCTAGGGTTGGCCACCCCATTCACAACTGCTGGTTCGGTCTTTTTTTCTTGACAAGAATTGCATTTATTTAGATGCAGAACGTCTTACGACCACATCAAAGAGACTTTTCAGACACGCACTCCATCTTCAGCTCAGCGCCAGGCGCTAGTCAAACGAGTGTGAAATAAAAGGTACAGGTGATGAGGGAGCTTCAGTAGAACAACAGATGAGATGTTGTCAGGCCTAGGGATATGCCGGTATCATGCACGATAACAATATCGTGCATATTCATTACCATGATATATCGCATCACCGAATACCGGCACAAGTCTAGTCAGGCCATATATGTCAGTAAAAAGGAATTTTCCTGTCCTGTCAGCCATTATACTGTGCTCCTAGCACGTGCTCTTCAATTGCTCGCACAAATCCGGCGCTGCACGCTGTAGCCTGTATCATTTAATATTAAAGTGCAAGAGAATCTACAAGCATGCAATGTCATAGTTATGTCGTCAGTTAAGTCATGAAGTTACCAAAAAGGCGATTAAAGCTGCCTTAAATCTGTGCATGCAGTAAGTATTTGTTATATACGAGTCAGATTTAAGAACGTCTCTGAAATGAAGTGGTTTTCAAGCAGCCCAGCACTGTCTCCCTCATCTAACACACCCGATTCAACTCGTCAGCTCATTAGTAGACTTTAAGAGCTGAAGTGGGTCAGAAAAAGTAAAGAGTTTTGACAAAATATGAGTGCAAAAGCAGCCAAAATAACCTAATAACCCAGCTGCTGTGATGTCTGTTAATCAAAGAACAAAAGCAAAAAAAGAGGAAATCATTAACTTTTGTAGCTTTAAGGATTCATCTATATTTAATTTAGAATTTAGTGTTTAATAACTTTATTCACTTTCTGTATGTTTCCTACTTGCTGAAGGGCACAGTGAGCTTAATATGTTTGTATCTGTTTATGTGAAGATTGTTTTAAATTCACTTCAATACCAAGTTATTTTTTAAAGTCTAATAAATGTTAAAATGAATAGCTCTCAGTTACTGCAATGTTGAATGGCTATTGTCAATCATTAAATATTAGGAAAAAAACAATTTCATAAATACATCAGTATTTATGGTATCAGTGATACTCACCTTCAGTAATAAAAAAGATGTAATTAAACAAGTATTAAAATTATACTGTCTTTATTTTGTTACTACATTAATTTGAAGATGGAATGTGAAATTACTACAATATAAAAGTATATTTAAAAACTTTAATGTTAACTGTGATTAACCGTGATTTATCACTACTAATTTCAGAAAAAATGTGAATTACTTAATTTTTTTTAATTGATTGACAGCACAAATAAAAATATATAAACTATTACTAATACATAATGATTATATATAAAAGTCCCACAAAAGTCTGTATAATGTTACTCTTAAAAATATCCTACTGAAATTTTAGTCAAAAACATTGATTGAAAAGTGATTTCTGTAATTTCTGTGCCACTAGCATCACCAAATAAAAACTGCTCAAATATTTTCAAATATGTTTTTGTGTCTCAAATACTCCCCCATCTTCCACTGGTAGGACAAACTGATAGTCCCACCCAAAACTCATGCTAATGCTGCTATGTTTAACGGGTCTAGATGTTCAAACAAAAAGCATCTTTTAATTTCACCAAAGAGTTTACACTTTTCAGGTTTATTTTATATAAGCTATTCGTCGGTGACCGACGAATTGGGAATCTCGCTAGAGAGACCAATTTACTTCTAGTGTAAACTAAACGAGCCAATGCACATTGGCATGCGATGATTGCATCCAGCTGCCGCTGATCGCAGTGCGAGTATAAATAGGCAACAGATGCGACACATACTCAGGTTTTCGCTGAGGAGCCGAGCCGGTGACCCGGCCGTTCAGCGGTGGTACAGCAGCCGTGGCAACGGGACGTGACGTCTCCTTTCCCTCCTTCAGGGAACGAGGGTTACAATACATAACCAAGACGTTCCCTTTCAGTCGGTCACTCTCGACGTCACGTTGGTGACGACGAATTGGGAATCCCTACCAAAGCGCCATGGATGCTGCCCCTTCCAGTGTCTTGTGCGAGCCACCTGCGCCCCCTTTTGGTGTAGGCCGGGGTTCGCAACAAGAAGGCCAGTCACTGTTGTCGTAGCACTACCCACTCAGTGAGATTGGATAACACTGGATAAACGTACCCGTTCCACTCGGAACAGGAACACTGCGGAAGCCCCATCCTTCCCGAAGGAGGTTTCGGAAGCACTTACACATATGGACAACTGTTTAGGTGCATATGGAAGATTTGAAATGATTGGAAATGGCAGAAGTCTGCCGGGGAACATGGGCTCTGAGGCTATACCATGGACTTTACACATATGGGATCCACTTAGGTCTCTACATATGGAACCCAGCCCTCTAGCGGTTCTCATGGATTCATTGAGTGAGGGCCTGGCGCCGGACGTTCCGCCACGTCTGGCTGCCAAGGAGATGGAGGAGCTCGACAGGGTCTACAGTACGGACACTCTGGAGCAGTTCTAGCAAGCCGACACTAAACCGGGGCCTCTCAGTGCCTCTACCCGTTTGAGGTGAGAACACAGGAGGATACCGGCTCCACACGAAGGCTATAGAATCTAGCGAACGTGTTGGGGGTCGCACAGCCCGCAGCTCTACAAATATCTGCCAGAGAGGCGCCATGAGCCAGCGCCCAGGAGGATGCAACACTTCTAGTCGAGTGAGCTCGCAACCTGAATGGGCAGGGCACACCCTGTGCCTGATAAGCCAGGGTGATGGCATCCACTATCCAGTG